CCCCTATCCCACCACTACCACTGATTTCCTGCAAGACTGAGTTCCCCAGTAGGTTCTGTCCCTTTTGTAAGTTAAAGCTCTTCTGTCCTGGTCATACAGCAAAGCTGCACCAGCTCCTCTGCTTTCAGGGTTGATGGGAAGGAGGGAGAAGGTTAAGTAGAAGTAATTCCCATTTATTTTTTCCCCCAAAATTCAAAGTGGTCTTGGAAGGGCAGGAAGTGAGTAGAGGTGGGCTGGTGCTGACTAAAGGCCTTCTTGGACCCTTTAGACACTGCATGTTTCTTCTCAGACTGACCCTTGGGTCTTCAGTGTTCTGCACAGTCAAGACTTTGGCAAAAATGAATAAAGGAAAGTATTCTTCAGAACACGTCCTATAGTGAGCAGTGGCTTATACTCATGGCTTCTTAGCATGGGGTTGAGTGGGAACCATATTCTGGAATAATTTAAAGGTGTCTGCATTGTGAGTGCAAGTTGAGAAAATCTGAAAGTCAGTTTATTAGTTGTACCCTGCTTACAACTGCTGTGTTTTGAATGTTTCCACAAAAACTCATGTTGAATTTTAATTGTAATTGTAACAATGATAAAAAGTGATTAATGGCTTTATTGTGGGAGTGGGTTGATTATCACCGGATTCAGCTCCTGATAACAAGGATACGTTTGACCCTCATTTTTGCCCTCTCTGCTTCATGTGCTTGCTTCTGCCTTCTGTCCCTTGCCATAGAGTGGCTCTTGCTAGAAACTGGTGCCTGCTTTGAACTTTCCAGCCTCTGGAACTGTCATAAATAAATTTATTTATAAATTATCCAGTTTGTGATATTCTGTTATAGCAGCAGAAAACAGACTAAGGCAGAAAGAGAACATTGTACAATTTGAAAATCTTAACTAAACACCTACCTTAGGAATTTGCTGAATTTTGTATGGAACAAAATATGCCACCCAGTAATTTATGTGGCCCATGAAAGCCCTTCTTCATTCATTTCACAAACATTGATGGAGTACATGCTATGTGCCAGGCATTGTGCTAGGCACTGGGGACACAGTAATGAAGGAAAATAGACTTGGTGTCTGTTCTGGTGGAGCTCACCACTGGTGAAATTGACAATCAAATAATCACAGCAAAGCTGGGCATGGTGGCTTGTGCCTGTGATCCCAACAATTTGGGAGGCCGAGGTGGGAGGATCACTTGAGGCCAGGAGTTCCAGGTTCCAATGAGTTATCATCACGCTACTGTAATTCAATCTGGACAACAGTGAAACCCTACCTCTAAAAAAATTTAAAAAATAAGCACAGCAATGAAAGTATAATTACAGAGTCAGGTGAGACATTTTCAGTGCAAAAAGTCAAGTTAGAGCACTGGGAAGCCTTCACTCCCGCTTACCAGTCATGGCAGTAGCCAAAGCCTAGGGCACTGGTTCTCCAACTTCAGCCTGTGTCAGGATATCCTGGGGTGCTTGATAAGCCACAGATGGTCAGGTCCCACCCCAGAGTTTCTGATTCAGTGGATCTGGGCTGAGGCTCTATAATTTGCGGTTTTACCAAGTTTCCATGTAATGATGCTGACTTGGAGACCACACTTTGAGACTCAGTGGCCTGAGCAAAGGGATTTTTAGCCTGGTCTTTGACGCAGAACACACAGCCCTGCTGGGCAGTCAGTCGGGAAACCTCCGGGGAAATACTGGGAAGAAAGGAATCGGGAGGATTGCCTCAGACTGCAATCATCCTGCCACACTGACAGGCTAGGCTTTAGGAGTATTCCTAAATGGAACCTAAGCTATGTCCATCACACCCCAGAATCTAGAAAAGGCCAGGCAAGTGTGGAGGATCTCATTTTCTAAAGGGATCAAGGCATTACCTGGGCATGATCACTTCACAAGGGAAACTCAAGTGAAGGTACATGATATGGGGATGCTGATAGAAAAGTGTTGAAGGGAAAAGTTATTTCTGAGTACTCCCCTTGTCCATTTTTTCTATAAATCCTCTGGCCCCAACCCCAGGGATTAAGAGTGGTTTTACCACACGATTGCTTTAAAGACTGTTATATTAGTCATGATGCTCTTGGCTGCAAGCAGTGGTGAATCCAACTCAAAATGATTTAAGCAATAAGAAATTTATCATCTCACATGACAAAAAGCCATGATGTAGAGAAGTTCTGGTGATGGTAAATTCTCAATGTTATTGTCAAGGATCAAGTTTCTTTTCATCTTTCAACTCTGCCAACTTCAGCATGTTGGATAGCTTTCCTCATGGTGCAAGATGGCTGTAACTGCCCTAGTGATACATCTTCACACACCACTTTCTGTCAGTAGAAATGAGACTATTTCCCTCAAGTCTCTTTTGAAAAGTTAAGAAATCTTTCCCAGGAGATACTTTCTTCCTGTAGATGTCCCCTCACTCTTGGTGCTTAGAATTGGCTCATGTGCCCTCAACTGTAGAGTGCAAAGGTTAACCAAGATTCATGCCCTGGGGTGAGGCCAGTACTAAAAGACATGGCTTCAGGAAGGAGGATGGACACTGAAAAAAATAGGGGATGCTTGACAGGGAATAAAGGAGGAATGGCTATTGGGTTGGCTATACCTCTGTGCTCACAGAGGGTAACACTAGGGATTATAGGGTACTCTGGTAACATCTGGGATGGAAAAATGGAGCGCTGTATCAGTTCATTAGTCATCAGTAACTTTTGCAGGAATAACAAACATCACTGAGCTTCAGGGATTCAGGAATATAGAACTACACAGAAATCAATAACTCATCTTCTAGACATAAGCCAGCTCAACTCAACTCCCATAGTCCTTTAGAAGTTGTCCAGGTCTATCTTGAATCCTTGACAGTTGATTGTCCTCGACAATAGTCCTGCCAAGTGGTTGCCCTACCAGTGCTTGAACACTTCCAGTGACAGCGATCTCATTATTTATGATGGTGCTCTATCTTTAGACAGCACTAAATATTAGGAAGATTTTTCTACAGACTCCAAATTGTACACGCATGGTGTTTGCTCAGTGATTAGGTGGCAAAGCCTTTGAAGTTGCTGTCAGTATTTCCACTGGAAATGGAAGTTTTTAGAAGTTGCTAACACAAAGTTCCTTGCAGATTTATATGTGTTGCCAAGAGATACTTAAGACAAATAAACAACCAAATAATTCTGGGAAAAAGTGGGCTTGTCTGTGTTAAGATTTGTAAATATTTTTCATACTCTGAAACTATTTTTGGTTTGAACGCTTTAAATTGTAACAAAAGGTTACCCCATAGCATAACCTAATAACTAACATTTTGGGAGAAAAAGTTTTAAGGAAATGCTCTATGGCGTTAGCCTTGAAAGTAGCTGTTGTATGTGGGCCCCACATTGCTTCCTCCCCAATTAAATTGGAGAAATCTAACTGAACTTCTGGTTGTCCCTATGGGAGGAGGGGGGCATTTTCCTTTGTGCCACCTCACACAGTGAGAGTTGGATGGTATATTTAGTGTGCTCTCATGAATCTAAGTGAATGTAGAATAACAATGACTTTCAACCTTGGCCAAGACTGTTCAGGGGCTTGGTACCATTGACTGTTGTGTGCTGCAGTAGGTTGGGGGTTGGTGGCAGTCCCTCCAGGGAGGTCTTAGGGTAGAGATCAAAAGGCCATTTGTTCTCCAGTGACTCTGTTCTCTGACTACATGGATCATCACTGCTTGGCCAGACCAAAGGGAGGAGCCCATATACACCAGTCATGAATTCTGGACAATTGTTTTCGAATCTCAGGATGTTGCTGTGGAAAGATGTGCTCTATTTCCAGCTGGGAAGAGTGCCTTTAAGTGTGCCTGCATTGTCAGAGCACTTTCTATTTTTCAAAGGACATGATATTACTTTGATGTCAGCATTGATTCCATCTATAATAATACCCCCTCTCCTCACCACCCTTTTAATGCGTGTTCCCTGTCCCCAACATCCATCCTAGAGCCTTGCAGCAGCCCTGCTCCTCCCCTCTGCCTCCCCTCTTTGGACCTGGACATCCATGTTCAGATGTGACCTTTGAATTGCTTTTTGGCTTTGTCAAATATAGAATAATGCTGTTGACTTTTTTGTTTGTTTGTTTCTGATTTTAGAGACAGAGTCTTTCTCTGTTGCCCAGGCTAGAGTGCAGTGGCATGATCATAGCTCACTGTAGCCTCAAACACCTGAACTCAAGCAATCTTCCCATTTCATCCTGCCAAATAAATGGAACTACTGACTTGCACCACCACACCCAGATAATTTTTTTTTTTGGTAGGGACAGGATCTTGCTATATTGCTGAGGCTGGTCTCAAACTTCTAGCCTCAAGTGATCCTCCCACCTCAGCCTCCCAAAGCGCTAGAATTACAGGCATGAGCCATTGCTCCTGGCCCAAAATATGGTTAATACGGATTCATACTTCTTTAGCTATGACCAAGAGCTTGAAGTAGCGATAGCTCCTCCTTTCAGACGATTGCTCCCATTTCCTAATAGTCACACTCAGTTCTTCTTTAACATATATGTCCTCACTTGTTCAATAGTATCTGTTTAGGTTGTCTCCTCAAGAGTACCCTGCTAACGCCACTGTACAGGCAACTCTGTGGAAAATGCCTTCCCGCCCTGCAGCACATTTGGGGCATACCTTCAGTCTCGAATAATAAAGTCCAGAGCACTGGCCAAAGGGTTCTGTTACCAACTAAATCCTTTTGTGTGTCAGATAGGTGTCAGGGATGCCAAATCCTCATGGGGTTCCCTCAGCATCAAGGTAAGCAATTTTGCCAAGAAATGGGATGTGATTATGAAAGAAGACAGATTTTTCCATGTGGCTTGGAAATGGGAACCAAAGGCAGTTCTGAAAGCAGTGCTTCAAGTCACATGAGTGTGGTCATATGGCTGGAGCTACTCAATGGCCTCCCAAGGAAGCTCCGTCTTTAGAAGAAGCCAGTACTCCTTGGAGGTGCCAGTTCTGCTCGTTTTTTAAAATCCAAAATGTGTTTATTGGGATGGTTTCCCATTCATCTTGATTGGGGTGTTTTAGTGTTGCTTCCTCCTGAAGGAACATGCTTCTGTGAGCCTTGCTTTTCCTCCTGTAGGCTGACAGAGGACAGTGGAGCAGCCAACACACAAAACTACTGTTTGTGCATGACTGAAAACCGTGGTGATTTTATAGCATCCTGGGCATTTCCCGTCCATGAAGTAGGAGTTGGGGCTCTGCACCAGGCGCTTCTTCTTGTGCTTCCTCTTCTCCTCTGGAGAGGGATGAAGGAGGTCCTTTACAAGAGGCATGTTCTTGTGAGTAGGTCGTCACCGGCGGAAAGGACTGCTCTTTTGTTAAAAGTCATTGGTCTCCTGACTGTATGGACTTATAGTGGCTGATGCAAAGCTGTGACAGGAAGTCTTTTCAGCTTGGTGGTGAGTCGTATCATTAGCTCTTATCCAGCTACCTTAAAGGTTGGGGTCTGTCATCTTGTCACCCATGACGTACTTCTCTGGCCATCACTACTGATGTGATCAGACAAAAAGAACAAAATCTGCACAATCTCAAACCTACAGATTTTGCACCTCAGAATCGAAAAAATAAAACTCTTTCTAGTTAGCAAAGAGTAGAAAGGATGAGATGTGTGCTTTGAATTAACATTTGTGCCTGAGTGTATCTTTTCAATTGAGGACTTAGTCCTGACTTATACAGGGGGGACCCAAAAAAACCCGGAATTTATTTTAAAATGTGTATTTCTTTTTACCTGTTTAAACTTCAGTCACCTTCAAAGTACTCTCCGTTTCATGCAATACACCTAATTAAGACGCTTTCCCCACTGCTCAAAATAGTCCTTGAACTCATCAGATCTGCTGCCTTTTATTGCTTCGCCAATTTTTGTCTCATATCTTCCATATCAGCAAAGCATTTCCCTTTGAGAACTTTTTGCATCTGGGGAAACAATAAAATGTCACTCGGGGCAAGATCGAGGGGAAAGGAGATTGGGTCATGGGGTCATGCCATTTTTGGCCAAAAACTGCTGAACACTCAGCGCGGTGTGGGTCACTTGTTCATGTAAATCACCCAACATGAAATGGGCAAACGTGTTGAAAGAATCTCCAAGGAATTACTCACTGAAGCCAAACACAGCCTCTCACAACCCTAGCTGGTACACTGATGCTGATGAGTTCCTAGAACACTTACCTAGCGGAGGAAGTCTGTACTGCAAAGGGCACACCCTCCAAAAAATAATTCTGGTTTTTTGGGGACCGCTTGTAGATGGACTTCCACAGCCACTTTGGTCCTGAGGGGGAGAAAAAGGAAGAGAATGTGAATGCAGCAGATGCACAAGTCATTACAAATTGATCACTACCTCTTAGTCCATACTTACCACATACCAGTCACTAATCTAAATAATAATAAATGCTATCATTTAATTCTTACTAACAATGCCATGAAGCAAGAAATATATTTTGTACGTTCCAGATGAAAATACTGAGGTTCATAGAGTTTAGTGACCTTATTATTTATTTATTTTTTGAGTCAGGGTCTCACTCTACAACCCATGCTGGAGTGCAGTGGTACAATCAGGGCTCACCATAGCCTCAACCTTCTGGGCTCAGGTGATCCTTCCACCTCGGCCTCCCAATTAGCTGGGACTACGGGTGTACACCACCACGCTCAGCTAATTTTTTTGTAGAGGTGAGGTCTCGCTATGTTGCCTAGGCTGATCTCAAACTCCTGGGCCCAAGCAATCCTCCTGCCTAGGCCTCCCAAAGTGCTGGGATTACACATGAGCCACCGTGCTCAACTTTAGTGACCTTTTTCAAGATCACAAAGTTAGTAAGCAGTAGATCCAGGGTTTGAACTTTGATCTCTTTGAGTTCCGTGTCCTACTAAATCTCAAATTTTAGTATGAAAACTTTTAAAAATGCAGGTAATGATTCAGTAGGTCTGGAGTGGGGCCTAAGATTTAATGTTTCACAAAATCCCATGCTGAGGCTGCTGATCTGAAGACTTTGAGTACCAATGATATATACCACATTATAATCGAGTCACCAGCTGAAATCTCAGTTTATCTGGCCAAAATTTTGTGAGTTGGTGAAACCAGGGTTAGCTCTGGGAAAAATGTGAGGAAAGTCAAGGCTTTTGTTCCAGGCTTCCTCAGCTTCCTGGGTATCAGCTTCTTCATACCTCCCACCCCAGAAGTCCCAGAGGTCTGAAGCTCTGCTTTCTCTCCTGTAGGATCTGCATTTTTACAGGGAACAAAGCCTTACACTGAAGCAATGACATTGTCATTTGGGGACTTGAGGCAAGAATGGAGAGGAAGGAAAGGGTGTGGGAGGATGTTTCCAAGTTTCTCAAATCACTCATTAGTTCCAAAAAACAGCAGTTGCTGGACTGTTTTATGCCCTCAAGAAAATGTGCCACCATGATGGTCACCAGAACCTTGTTATGACTGGCGAAGGGGAAATGGCTTCCATTGAGTCTATACTTTTGGCTATTCCCCTAAGGAAAGACATGGCTCATCCCCTTCACTGCCTTAATAACAGGCAGGAGTCTGTCTGGTGACGTGGCCAGACTTGTCGGGTGGCTATTTGAATAGCAGATAAACTGAGTGAACACTCAGGGTTGAGGGTACCATCAATGGATGCCAGCCAGACTATCGTGCCAAAGCAAGCTGATTATACAGGCGGATCCCTACTCTGGGGAGGGCTGGGCTGGTGAGGAACTGGAGGCTGGTTCAGCATTCAGCCTAATTTGAGGTCTAAGTAAAAATGTGTGTTTGGTAATGGAGAAACTCATATTGAAAACAGGTGGTGTTTGGGCTTTTGCCTGCTCTCTAAAATGGACCGTCTGAGGCCTACAATGCTTTTCTGTCTCCAGAGTCTCAGCCTTACTGTGGACTTGGATCCCCACTACACTCAAGGCCTGCCTGAGCCTCTATTCTGGAGGAGGTCCCCGAGGGTCATGAGGGACATGGGGTTGGTGTGGAGTTGCAGACCTTGCTTAGTGGCAAGCAGAAAAAGGAATGGGAGCTACCCTTATGAGCAGGAGGAAGCTCAAGTTCTGTCCCACCTGTCAACATATGTGCCCTGAGCTCAATGGGGGCTAGTTACTAAGTGACTACAATAATTACTTTGAGCTTCAACTATATGTCAGGCACCACATGGGCATGTAGGAGAAATATAGCTGGGCTTATATGCTAATACAAAACATAGCCCGGCGTAGTGACTCACGCCTGTCATTCCAGCACAGTGAGAGAGGGCGGCAAGAGGATTATCTAAGTCCAGGGGTTCAAGATCAGCCTGAGCAATTTGGCGAGACCCTGTCTCTACAAAAAATAACTGAAAAATTAGCCAGGTGTGATGGCACACCTATAGTCCCAGCTACTTGGAGGGCTGAGGCAGAAGGATCACCTGAGCCCAGTGGACCGAGGCTGTGGTAGCCGTGTGCATGCTACAGTACTCCAGCCTGGGCGAGAGAGTGAGACTCCTGCTCAAAAACAAACAAAACATAAATGCACAAAACATAATAAGAGCAGACGGTAGCACAACTACCAATCAAGGGATATAGAGAAGGGTTTGCTGGACTCTTCTCTACATTAGTTCTACACACTTGCTATGGTGCAATGGTGGGCATTTTATAGGTAGAACCAATCCATTTGTTCTTTCCTTAGTGCTAGTATTCATTCATTCCATAAACTCTTCTCCAGTGGAGAGAGAGGCCAATCAGATAAGAGGGTGGGTTTGTTTTTTAAGTGAGGGCTGGTTATTATTTGTTTTAACTCATTTTTTCCTCTTTGCGAATTATACCCTTTTTCAACCTGTAGTCTATTTTTAAGTGCAGCTAAGAATTAAGCTAGAAAGTGATCAGATCAAGGGTTACTGCCTATAAACGGAAGATTTATACGCAATACCCTCTGCTAGCCCAAGTGACCTAATTTTTAATATTTGGTCATTCTTGTTATTTAAGGAAAAAAACCACTCACGATTGTACATTGTTTACAACTGGCCAACGTAGGGCTTAATTGGAGTTTTTGTGGGCTAAAGCAATTGGTGTGTTGGTTCCATGGATGTGGGGGTAGGGCTCAGGTTGAAAGGAGGGAGTAATGGTACCCCCTCCTCAGCCAGCCATCACATTCCCCTCTGGAAGCCTCATTTGGATCAAAAGAACTGCTATGTTTAGATAATGCTTGGGTGTTTGAATATAATCTTTAAAGTCCCTGCCTGCTCTAAATTTCAGTGAGTTGATGATCACTCAATGGATTACATTAGTTCTACACAGTTGAGAGGCATAGCCAGGGGGCTTAGGAGTAGACCTTATTGTTAGCATCACTTTTAATTGGGGCTTATTTTAAAAGGCTTTGAATAAAATGAAGAGAATAAATTTGCCGTGAGATTTTCCAGTGTGTTGGGCCACATTTAGCTATCTGTTGGGATTAATGGAATTACTGGGAATATTACCTGCAAGATTTTTCATAGTTATGGTGTAAGATGCTTACTGGAATGCTGTGAATATGGAATCGTTGACACGTACAAATCCTGAGGAATTTGCAGGTGGGTATCTGCTGGGTGTCCAGCAGTGAGCTAGGCAATTCTCTGTATTCAGTTCCAAAGGCTGGACAGTTCACCACTAGTATTTTGTTTCATGTAAAAATAGGGACAGACTCAATGTGGTTTTCTAGCTTCCATCAAAATGCCCTACAGCATAAAAAAGAATGAAATCATGTCCTTTGCAGCAACATGGATAGAACTGGAGATTATCATCCTAAGTAAACTGACTCAGAAACAGAAAACCAAATACCACATGTTCTCCCTCATATGTGGGAGCCAAGTGGTCACAAAGATGGAGATAATAGACACTAGGGACACCAATGAGGGGGTAGAAGGGAAGGAGGTTAGGGTCAGAAACTACCTATGGAGCACAATGTTCACTATCTAGGGAATGGGCCACCTAAGACCCAATCCTTACCACTACACAATATGTCCATGTAACGAATACACATGTGTACACCCTGAATCTAAATTTATAAAAAATGCCCTGCAGCCTTTTTGCCCCTGGGCAGTAAGTGGATCTAAACCTGGAGTTGGATGACATTGCTGTGTAGCTATAGGGGATCTGAGATTGGAGGCCATTCAGTTTATGACCATTTTGGAGTCTTAAGTGCTCATGAAACTGAATGGGTCTTTTTAATTTTGTTGCTGAGTTAGTTGGATAATTAACTTAAATTCCGTTTTGGTCTGGCTGGGGACTTGTGCTCTTGTTTTTGTTTCTTGATAACTTTACTTGATCTTCTCACTTAAATCCTATGATG